CAGCAGGCACCAACCCTCAAGGCCACACTCTTCCATGGTGCCAGGCTTCCTGTGAGCCCAACGCAGTATGTCCCTGATCGTGATCAGATCCGTTCCCCCTCCAGCAAGGAGAGCGTCAACATTCCGATGGGCTCTCAGGTCCTCATACACCTTCACCATAGCTGCCGCGATCGAAGGAGCCAGTTGGCACTTGTGCTGCAATATAGCTCGAAGCTCATCAGAAGATAGCGAGTCGATCCACATCGTCGTGAAACGGTTCCTGAGAGCCCTCGACAGCTGCTTCCTCCCTCCATAGTCTCCCCCAGCGGGATTCTGCGTGGCGAATACGACAAAGTCGGGATCGGGGACAACGGTTGTGTTAGTCTCCGCAATGTGAATCTCGCGATTATCATCAAGTAACCTGTTGATTCCCTCCAGCACCTCACTCGGAGCAAGGTTGAGCTCATCCAGCACGACCCACGCTCCCGCGCCTGAAAAAACGCACTGAGACGACCGCACTAGTAGTAGAGGCACAAACTCACGGCAAGCCTTCACAAGGGGCCCTTCCTCAAACTTGAGCACTCCATGATCATAAACGTGCTGCCCGATGTACTCCTGTAAGTCAGTGTGCTCATGGTTGTTTATTCTCACACAGCCATGACCGGTCATAGCAGCTACGAACTTCACCAAAGACGTCTTCCCTGCACCAGTAGGCCCCTCAAGCAATATGGGCGGCCGTACGACTTTGCCTGAAGAGAATCATATCCTCAGATTCAAACACCATCACATGTAGTATGACCCACCTCCGGATACGCATCGCAATATTTTCTTCAAGTTGCGGCGCGCCGACTCAGTCACACAGAAGTCTCTCAGCAGCCTCTGAACGTCTATCTCCATAGGACCCCTTGCGATCCAGTAACCCTCGATGCACACCGCCTCCTTCTCTACGACTACGTCCAATGAGCCGGCAGCCTGGCCGATCCTGCGCGGGACTTTGGACGGTCCCGGCAAGGATCGATTTATCTCCTCCATCACTTTCGCCTCGGACGACTCCGACAGGACTCCAGCGAAGGTAACCGCTAGGCCTTCCCGAACCTACCATAAATCTCTCAAATTCATCATCGACTTGCAGTGTAATATCGCCACATCACGTGATCATTACAACAGAAATACGACTACCGAATCCTTGCCTCAAGACACAGCTCAATCGAACAAATCACCACTTGTTCGCGCGATCCATACCCGACTACTACAGCTTCCATCCCTCCATCATGATGCCGATACCGTGGACTTTTCACGAAGGTCCTAGCGAATCTCAGCGCTCTCGCTAAGGACCTCAATGAGAACACTGGCCTCCCGCCTTGACCGTCGCTCAAGTGGCCATCTCGAGCCATCTCTCTGACCTTCTTATAGACGCTAACCACCGCCTCGCTCGGAGGGTTGGGCAGGTGCTTCGACAAACCATCAGTAACCAGCTGGATCAGATCGGCGTCCTCCACCACCTCGTCCACGTAGTACTCACAGAACCGCGCTCGGATACCAGCAGGAAGCGGCTTCTTCGCCGGCCCAAGATGACTGGGGTTCATACAGGCGAACAACCGGAAGTCCGGATGGATCGGAATCCTCACACCAGCTCCGCCTGCCTCGTGAACATCAAAGTACTTGGGATTTTCTACCGTGCTCGCTCCTTGTTCCAAGAGGCCCGCAATACGTTGGAGAACATCTCCCGGTGCCAAGTTGATCTCATCGAGGACAAGCCAAGCGCCAGTGCGTAAAGCAGTGAGCAGCTGACCCTCGACAAACTCGAATCTCAGAGAAACCTACAACACATAGCAGCACTCCGATACAACCCCGTTTAACGTGAAGTGGTGTAATACTCCTAACACGCGTATTTCCCGCGTCCGATAACAGACTTGTTTTCCGCCAAGTGAAATGCGGTATATGTTTTCTACTAGTGTTTTTCAAATCCCGAGCGAAACTCCAATAACTCAGTTTCAACGATCTCTGCCATGTAGTACCTTAGTCTCAGTCGCCGCCTTACAGTCCTGCGCGAGTTTATTCCATTCCTCTTCCTCCCTACCAGCCGCTATCGCCTTCTTGCATGTTTCCAATACAATCGCGAGGGCCTTCGCTCCGCCCTTCTTCTGTGCTACTTTATCAACGTGAGCCGCCAAAGCCGCGTTAGACTTCTTCGAAAATGTCTTGTCCATCAGAACGTGCCAACGCTTGATTAAGTCGTTCGCATCGAGTGGCAGCGGCTTAAGCCCTCCAATCAGTTCCTGCGCTTCACTCTGGTCGGAGAAGTTGTAAACCATCAGCTCTCGATTGAGCATGCGTGCAAGGCATTGAACAGTCGTAGTTTTACCGCACCCAGTGTCACCCACCAACAACGCTGGCTCGTTGTACACAACACATTTTGCGAGGAACTCCAGCAATCTCCGATGGACCTGCCAGAATGAGCTCTGGAGTCGAACCAGACGCCTGCCCAAAGCCTACACTTGTGAGAGAATATTCTTCCAAAACTGAACTTCCACGGTCTTCGCTCTCCGTAATTCTCCTCACCAGCGGCTCAACGTCAGTGCCGATGGATACATTCGAGCGATCGAGGGACACCTCAGGAGCGCTATCCGATGCAGCAGAACCCGAGGGAAGTGAGAGCGCCTGATCGAGCTGTTCATACAAAAATGTTAGTCTAGCGTCTCGCCGAAAAATACTATGAGCGAAAACAGTACGAACATATGCGATATCATCGCACACAGAGCGGAACGAATACCAACAATCGCAATCATAAACGTGAACTGACTTCATGAGAACTACCTCGCGGAGCGCGCCATACACTTCCTCTCGAGCCTTCTGGTCGAACACGTGCGCCACCCAAACCGCATAAAGCTCTCTCGCAATACGCAGCCTGGTATTCTCAGCCAATGGCCAACGATGAGGCCATTTCACCGAAAGTGGTCCCAAGCGCTCTATGGCCCGTCTGAAGTCCTTCGGGGTCAACTTCCGCGATACGCCTTGCTCTTCCATAGCTGTATTAACTCGTTGATAAGCCTCAGCGATAGCCTCTCCACAAGCTGGAAACGCCAAAGTCCTAAGATATGGTTCAATTCGTCCCCATCAAAACATTCCCTTGTACTACTTGGCAGCAATATAGGTCTCCATCTCCTCTCCCGTCATCGGAGGCATCATCACGTGTGTCCATGCTTGGAGAGAAGTGCTAGAGGCCAACAGCAAATCAAGGGAAGATCCCATGCCTGGTTGACTACTGGCCAGCGATGATACAGTCCCTACACACAGAGGCCATCAGTCATGAACCACGAGTAATGAAATAGAACCACGGGATAAACAACTACACTACCTAGCCAATTTCAAGACAACTGATTCAAAGCACCATAAGAGCGAGGCGCAGCTCACCCTATTCCGAGATCTACCACTTGAAACGATGAAATTGCACCAACAATTGGAGTCAAGTTCATCCAGGGTATTCAGAGCACAATGACGCACATGCTGTCGTAATAAGACCGCCTCTACATCGCTACTACCAATGAGCACGAAGTCCGGGTGGACTCTCAGAGTCCTATTCTGCTCAAGCACAAGGTAGCCGGTCTCATCGTCGTTAGGGCTCGGCAGAATGGCCAACACGTCACTGGACACCTTGTCGATGTCTTCGATCACTACCCATGACCCATCCACCTGATCACACATGGCATCAGCCAACCCATTAAGGACGCAAGCTCTACCATAGCTTTCGCTAGAACTCCCATCTGCCATTCGAATCTCCCAGGTTTATTTGGAATTTGCTGGAAGCCACCAATAAGCGACTTCGGGTCGGTCGAGTCGTCAATATGGAGGGTCTAAATTTTGGACCACGAATGAGCTCCTCTCTATCACGGTGTAGTCAACACACCGTCCTCCCTTCCTCCCCTACCACAATATCCTTATTCGCTGCAGCCAATTCATGAGCCCGATGGATGACTGTTGTTTTGCCGCACCCAGAAGGACCGTGAAGACAGAGGCACGACATACTGGGAAGAACGTTGACCCACGTATACCTATCGAGTCACAGATCAATAAACCGACTGTTGAGAACAGCATCGTTACAGGTCGTTCACAGCCTTCCGTTGCCCTTCCGTTAAGTCAGCCGCCTCCACTTGACATTCTCCACACCCACCATCCGTGCCGCCAATGGCAAGTTCATCCAGCGACCGAATCAGGGGCTTTCGGCCGAGTTCAGCAGTTCCTACCAATAGTATATCATAAATGCACCGCAAACGATCAGCCTTCAATCAGCCAATGTTCACAAGGCAGATAGATAGAACAACCCAGACGCGATCGCAACCCCGACTGATGTCCCTTTGTCCGTCCCTTGTACTACCTTTTACGGTTTCAAGAGCCTGTGCCGCTACGAGGCTCTTCACTGCCAGCTTCTCCAGCACACCTTGCCAGTCCCATCGAGTGGCCAATTCCCCGTAAGCTGAGGAGTGCACCAATCTCCAGAGCGCCTCACAGAGGATATCCCTCCCTCGCCCATCCTCCTCGATTTCAACCCCATCCCAGGGAGAATCTGTCATCTCGTTCAAAGCCCATAGAGCCCGCTTTCTAGCAAAAGGCAAATCCAATAATACACTCATCAACCATATATACGTCAGGCGAAACTCGCCAAGGTCGCTATACGAGCTCTCGAAGATCTTTCTTCTAGCCTCGAAGGACAGATTGGTAAAACCTCTAATGGCAGATACGACGAGATCATCGCCGTTCGATTGGGGATCTTCAGTGGACAGCAATCGCCCATGAAGAGACGTTATGAAGCTCCTTTCCATTTCACGACTGTCGGTAAAGCAGATCAGGGACAAGGAAAGTGGAACTGGCGAAAGAACCTCAGCAAATTCCATATAAGAGAGAATGGCAGTACAGTCCGCTTAACGTATGGCCAATAAAATCTTACGCTTCAACTCGAACTCAAAACATGACTCGGAAATGCTACATAGACAAATTGTGGTGCGGCAGCTATCGCAGAGAAACACCGGCACCGGGGATCGAACCCGGGTCAGATCTTCAAAAAAGTGATTCTCGCGTGTCGATGAACTGTCTTCTTAACATCCTCGAGTTGTCGATTGGTTGTGCTAGTGCTAGTGCAGAAGTAACTGATCTCCGCACCGAAGCAGTCATGCACTACATACGATCTCATTCACAAGGTGTACAATCACGTATGCTGGTTTCGCGGCGGGACTCCCGCCCAAGGTTGGCGGACACTGGCGCTCAGTAAACTGCTTCCGGAGCTCAAAATCAATTGTCCCACTAATTCTGACCCGTAGAATGTGAGTTCACAATTAGCTTCTGAGTTTTAAAATGAGTCTTCGAGGTAACCTCGAATACTCTCGGGCTAATAGTCTCAGGTGATGGGTGCGAGAGAGGTCAGGCCACATACTTCATCTAACAAGACACTCCACTCTAGAAACTATCCTTCAGGACTCAGGAATCTCGACATGCGAGCTCATGCAACAACGTCGTACAGTACAAATACTGCGTACATTAACAGTCATGGTTACAAATACATCAAGTAACTGTGTACGGATATAGTGCATATCACAAAGGTAATCATCCTGAAAGAAACTCGATACGGCACTCGTAGCAAGACGACGATGCTTACGCAATACAGTGACCTCGAACGGAGAGCCGGGAATCGAACCACCTTCGAGTGTTACGTCCAGGTCGTAGATCCCGGCAACAGCCAACTGGAAGCATACTCTGAATCACGGACAGTCAAGAATCATCAGCAAGTATAGTCGGATCGTGGTGGCGATATCGTCGGGAAATGGATCTCATCAATCCACTGATTCCCTCACCTATATTTTCCGTCACCATTGTCCACGATGGGCTCAATAGCGATCGATGGTCCAGGTGAATGCCGCGGGCCAGCAGCAATTACTGCGTAAGAATCGCCTCCCGTCGTCCTAGCATTTCCTGCGGCGTCAAAGGAGAGTATAGAGAAACAAGCAGGTGTATTCACCCCGACCTGAGCCGATCACAAGCAGCACTTAACATAAGCGGATTCTCAGTCACTGCTAGTGGAATGCTTCGTGAGCAGAGAAGTATGAATGCACAAGCGTATGTGTGTTCTGTAACGCACTGATTCGTTGAAACCAATGGATAGACTATGGCCGCCGAAAATATCCCCTAGCACGTTGCGGCCGCTAGGATCGCCAGCAGCAGTGAGTTTACCTCCGAGAAGTTCCCCACAACCTGAGTTCTCGACCTGTCAGATATTCCCTCTAGCACATCCACTGCGATTGGACTGGCAATGTAAGCTCCAAACAGAGTGGCGACCACAACTGTGGGCCCTTCTGGTATGCCTGCAATACTAAGGCTTAGCTCTCATGCTCCGACGGTCAGGTACTCACCCATCGGCAACGCGACCGTCGCCACGTAATGAGATTCAAGCGGAACCCATTCGATGGTGCCCAGTAGCGGCGGGTGACCAACTGCACTACGATATCCGGACCGAACGATCCATCTATAACAACATTGTGTTGGGCATCTCGCAATTCGACTCTCGTTGTGATAACGCCTCCAATGACAGCCTTGAGCACTCCATTCAGTGTCGGTTCAGTCGCCCAGAACAAGGACGAATTCGCCGCCGGAACTCCAGGGCGCACCCACATCCCCTCGTAGGGACTGCCCTTTATGTCCACACCCGCCGCCAAGCAAGTTTTGGGAACTTCAACCCATCCCGGCCCTATACTAGCCAAACTATCGGCTGAGTCGGGAAGGTACATTATCAGAGATATGCCAACAGGACGATCCATTGACTCTGCAGCATGCGCCGGCCTGTACTCGACGATGAACGGGAATGCCACATCGACTTCAACAGAATTGCTCAGCGTCCTTGTAGAGGATACGAACTCGTTCACTACAGTGGGCTGAGAGCAACACCCGCACTACCCACACCGTGCGAAACGTATAATGTAGATCACTAAATAGGAGCGAAGGATGACAAGCGAGAAATGGTGCCGGGATTCTTACTGCGCGCGGTAACAGTCAACGATGCTATCATAACCCACTAACGACGGCAGATCGATTGATAGGATAATCCGAAGCTTCCGATAGAGCTCACCTCTCCACCAGCGATGGCGAAGCAGTAGATCCCATCTCCCGCGACCGCTGGGGTACATCCCTCGCTCTGGACAACGCTGATGTTAGGTCTGTTCCACTCGTCATCGGTCATCCACGAGTACCCAGCTCTGTACTCCTCGAGAACGATTCCTATATTCTTCCAAGCTATTCTAACCCAGCTCTGCGCAGACACCGCCACCCCTAACAGACTGGGCACTGCGCTGCCGAGTCTATCGAAACGATCTCGCAGACAGTCCCAGTGGAGGAAACCCGTCCAGCGGACATATCTCGGAGAGTCTCGACCGGAGCGCCAGTCATGTGTGAGGCCGTGATCAATTCTGAGTATATCAGGGAGTTGATACGCAGCTGGTTCCGGTGACCAGGAGTAATACATAGCATTTAGCCCAGCAAAAGACTGCTGTATATGGATTCGGAATGGACCAGCTATGAAGGGCATAGAGTAGCTTTTGTATATACCATTCGAAGCTAGGGCCTTTCGCGTATACAGCGCGTCACCAAGCATACGGTCGGAGCTCCCCTTCATTGTTGGCTCAGTGATCACGAGAAAACGCGCGACATCATTAGCACTGTCCACCGGGCCGAGCTGACTGCAACCATCGGCGGCTTCGACCAAGCACTTCTGCGCTATGAACTCGACATCGATTACCGTTCCAACTTGAGGGCCTGTCCGGAATATCTCTCCCGTAGCAATCGGAGAATCTGATTTTAGGAAAGTGTCGGATGCTGATGCCGTGTCGCTTCTATCCCATATATAAACCCTTGCCTCGTCCAGCTGAGCATGCTGGACCAAGGAGCCGGGTACAGCTGATATGTCGCTTCTCTCAAAATACGGAGTGAACGGAGTCATGGGCATCACAGAGCCGGCAGTCGTCTCCGAGTCCACGACCAGCCTCACGGTAAAGAACTTCTCTTCGGCGTCGTATATCCCATTGTCGAAAATGGGTATTTCAACCGAGTGCTTTAATGAGATGGTTCTCATTGCTTCGCCACGCCATGAAACTCCCGAATAAGGGACCCCGCTGGAGGTAATCAAATCACCAGTCGAGTTGGTGGAATTCAGCAAAAGTGTGAATGCATTTTCACTGAGGCTGTCAGTGAAAGCATCGAAAGTAACGTCGAACTCCAAGGTCTCCATAGTCGTCTCGAAATCTGTCAACCTTTGCTGCGCTCCGCTCACACTGTGCGCCGATCTGCTGTCGACAGTTTGGACAACGACGACTGGCTTGTGTGCACTTCCTCTTAGAACCCAGTCGAGGTCTACGGTATCGAAGGACCGTACTATTTCGACCACGACGAACTCAGCGTCTGATTGCACGTGATAATAAGGAGAGGAGAATTCAATGACTCCCTCAGATACGCATAAGCCTTCCCTCATCACGAAAAGCGGGTCACAAGACAAACATCGCTCCGCCGAACAAGTCCGACACCGTCGCCATCGGAGATTGCACTGGTGGCATCTCGCAGACTGTGTGGAGTTGTCCACGATTGGAGACAACAGGAAGAACCCGGGCTCGCAGGTGAGGCATCGACCAGTGACAGGCTCGCATGTTGCACAATGCCTGAGCATGATGAGTGACATAACGGTCCACGCTTAACGTCAGATGGAGTTACCCGTCGCCGATTATCTTGCAGTTCGTGGGCATGTCGCACTTGAAAGCATTATATTGGTCGAAGTGGTACGAGGTTTCAGATGTCTGGACAAATCTCGTGTCGCCGTAGACGAAATCGGTTGGAGAGATTTCTGCTGAGGCAGAACGCCCGCGCCACCTGAGGACTACGACCATCAGAGCTCCGAAGAAACACTCGTCGGGGGCGGACTCACCAGAAGGGCAGCTCGTCCATGCCGTCCTGGCCCTTCGTGACGAGGTGTGTCCATCCAGGATCGCAGACACATCTGTTAGGTGATTCACAGTAGCCATGACCGCAGTCAGAGGAAGGCTCCGGCCAGTGTTGGCAAAGGGGATAGTCGCAAATACGACCTCCCCAACCAGGCTCGCATTTACAGAGATCTGGACAGATCGCCTCCCCGTTCACACACGGAGGATTCGATATAGGTGTCTGGAGAGGAAGAATCGCGATGGCCCAGAGCGCAACTCAATACTAGAACCAGTCCCTACTTCACAGGAAGCGCCACTCCACCCATAGAAACACTCGCATCGATTCGGCCATGCACAGATGCCCTGTCCAGCCTAGAGCAGCGCCATGCCCGACTACTCAGTATGAGGTCAACTTACCTTGCAAGGCGGGTCGCAGGAGGCGATCTCACAAGACGGTCCGGACCACCCTTCATCGCAATGGCAGACGTTGGGGGCAACGCAGCCCCCGTGTCGGCATTTGGGCCAGCACAGAGGCTGGTCACAATTAGCGCCATACCTATGGAAGCTCACAGCGTTAGATTTTCACGAGACTGTCTCCTACCATTTATCCGACTCGCACATGCAGCAACCGCCAGTGCAGGCCTTGTTCAGCCTCACGCACTCGCTCATTGCAGGCATGCAGGTTTCAGAGCTCTCACAACGACGGGCTAGATCACAAAGACTAGGCAGAACTCGGACCTGCGGTCACAGAGGGCGTGACCCTCTTCTGAGTGCGTGGACACGGGAGCATGGCTCCGAGGTCTATCCTCTCGATCTTGGTGAGGTGTTCTCACATTAGGATCGATCCATTCCATCTCGATTGCCATGGTGCAACATGCTTCCTTGGTGCACTGCTTCGGATGGAGGTGACACCCATGGGACTCGTCCAGCGCCTGGTCTAGCGTACACAGTTGAGTTTGATTGCCACACTCGTAACTCGACGTGATCGCATTCCCATGACTCCTATCATTCATTATGCACTGCCTGACGAAACAGAACGGGAAATGAAGAATGCACCCTATCATTGACATACTGCTTCCGCAGAACCTCCACACGCGACTACTAGTAGCGCCCATACAATCTGGGGCTTTTCATACGCCCTGTATCGCACCTTAGAGCCTCAGCGATGTCGACTTTGGTGCTATAACACTTGGACATCTTCGTCGGCATTCCTCGACTCGTTTGGCACCACGACGTGTAACTGGTCACCCATACTAGGAAGCACCTCGACTCGCCTCTGAAGCAGACTTACGTGCCGCCTATTTCGGGATAGTCGTCAGAGAGACACATATATGGGCAGTTAGTCACAGCGCCAAGCGGACTACCGCACATGTATGCGCATTCTCCGGAAATGCGACGGGGATTCCGATACGGAAGGTCTATGAGGTTCAGGTCCGACTGAGGGGAATCTTTTTTCACACAGAATGGGGCGAGGACTGTTCTCGGTTCAGGAGACGCCATCCGTGATCGACAGAGAGTGACATTGTCACTGTGACAAGGCTGGAAATGCACGTGGGTGCTGACCTCTTGCTGTCGAGCCATGCAGTTGGCTATGCAGGTCGTGAAACAGCAGTCTCCACCATCGTAATCGCAATCGTTCTCATCCATGTTGTTCGTCAAGTCACATCTGCGAATGTCGTGTGTGGTGACACCAAGAACATTGAAACCGGGATCCCGCAGATACGGACCGATGCCGTTGCTGCAGTTCGAATCAGTAAGAACGATTGAGATGCGAAAACACTGTCTAGACCGTCGCACCTCCCATCGCCTCGCAGAGCCTTGTCGCAGGTTCCAACACTGGAGCCTCTCAACTTGTCACGCCAGGCGGTCAGATTCCACGCGGTCTCTGTGATGGACACGTCCTATCGATGGCAGAGAGCGCCTCATGCAATGTGTCATGCGGAACATCTCACCGCGCATGCCGGATCGACCGTCAGCTCCTGGGCAGTAACAGTAAAACGGTATCGAGCCCAAAAAAGGAGAAACGACAGTCTCATGACAATCGAGTCAACTGGGCCATGCTCATCATCAAGTGCCCCATCCAGGCGGCCACAGAACCAGCAAGAGCGATGCCATTCCGACCCGCCTCATCCAAAGACTGTGACCAACACAACAAACTAGAGTGAACTGAAGCTCGATGGCTGAAGCATCGGAGTTTCTGGAGGCTGACGCTGGTAGAGAAGCAATGGTATAATACACAATGATTATCAACTGTTGTTCAGGAATCATCCTTTCACATCCCGAGTAGAGAATCGCTCAACATATCCACTGGCTGAGTTCATACGTCATCGGTACAAAGCACACTAGAGACGATTCCATCACACTCTCGCCACCGTTGGTGCCTCTATGGAGTCATCTATCCCGAATGGATCTCGAGGCCGGGGATGACGTGAGACCTCGGAAAGCATATCAACCCTCAACTTTTCATGCGAGTGTTCCCGCTGTCGTGAAGCAACTGGTTCGTAGAGTCCCTCATACAAGTGAATGGTGAGCAGTGGGCTTCGCACACGGTCAGAGGGCACGGCTACGTTAGCAGGCAGAGAGTATGCCACATTCATCCACCATTCAAAACTGAGATCATTCTGGGTTCATTGACGTTTTCGCTGGCTACAGAGTCGGTTGAAGAGGAATACACAGGGAGCAGTGCGAGCTCACTGTGTAGATTGACGCGTGGACCGAAAAACCCAATGATCCTGCTCCTTCGATAGGATGTGAGAGCAATTCAGTGGAACAGTAGCGTTAAAAAGCGCTAGGCGTTTATGATCCAACGGGCCCGGCGTCGGTCAGATACCCACATTTTGAATAATTTGATTCAGTTCTGGACAATCTGAGTCCAGCCTTCGTCACTTGTCCCACTTCTCTGTATACAGGGTGAAAGACAGAGCTTCCGAGAACATGCTACTGGCATTGCCTTCTGCTAACACCAGTAGATTTGAGAGCGAAGTCTTCCCGAATTTTCCGATAGACCACAGGAGTATTCCGTACTGGTCAGGCGCATGGAGTTGGAGTCAAGTCGGTTCGAGTGTCATGGCAACTGAGCAGTCCACAAACGGAAAAGGAGCGTTCGGCCACCTTGGCCAGTCGCTGTAGAGCCGATGTGCAATGTATCGGGCGCCAGTCCTTGAACTTGAGGCACTCGCTCGTAGTTTTCAGCGGAATCAGCTCCATCCGAGACGCACGAGATCTCCGATCTAGCAATAATGGTAGAGGAGTAGATAAGCGTCTTTCGGACATCGTAGTGAATCGCATGTTCGTAAGACTGTGAAGTGTATAATTACGCTCGTATCCTCGAGAACTAGAGTGTTGTTCAGTGAACCATCTAGAACCGCATTCCACGAGTGGAAGTCAACTTTAGAATCGAGTAGGACATTCGAAAGACGTTCGACAAGCGCTAGCTACTGTGAACGTGCTGTAAATATCTAGCCTTCTTCATCCATCTTACTGTTCCTCTACGCCCCTCCCCCTACTCACCGCAACACTAACAGGTCGATTACAAGTCGTTATAGATGATAATAGAACTATGGTACAGTGCAAAAGCAGCGATAGTAGTGGCATCAGCAGAGAGGAGAATCATTAGCGTTTCAGATCTGACTGGCAAGTATAATGGCGGCGGACAGACTTGCAGACAGCAGAAAAAACATAGGACGATATGGTACTCATCGGATATGTTGTCACTGCACTGCCCTACTCGTGCTGGTGCTGAGGAGGTGATTCTAATACTGGTACCGCACTTGATACTGTAATTCAGGTGGAATGTTACATCAAAGATTTGGCAAGAGTTGGGCTCAATTACTTTGGTCGCCCGCAGCAGACGTACAGGACTCATCGACCATATCTAGCGCTCCGAATCCGAGGAATGGTAGCTCTTCTGAAGGGCAGTCCCGCTGTGAGTTCTTCTCATTAACTTTCCTCAAGCCCTCTATAAGATCCGTATCGTCAGCATCAGCCGCGTTCAAAAGTCTCCTCGCGGCGAAAGTAAAGGTCTCCGCTGTGGCACCCATCTCGGCTGACCGGGCCGCCATACTATTGGCTACTGCCATTTGCCCGAGTCGGAGCCATTCGGACTGGTAGTACTGCAGAGCACGATATCTCTGGATGTCGACCAGACTAGGGTTAGGACTAGGAAACGCCAGTCGAGCCTTCGCCTTAGGCTTTGGTTTCGCCCTTGGTTTCCTAGCCAACGTAGAATCAGGTCTCGGGGGGACAACTCGCAACGTAGCCGATTTGAGGATGGGCATGTGGCCAGCATATTTGAATGGCAATTCACTTGTTGGGGAGGCGATCGGCCCTTGGGGACTTGAGAAACTCGACACCGGAGTGGCAACCGCTTCCAGTGTTGCTGACTTCATGGACGGCCCTGCGATGGGATTCTTTTGATTGAGTAGTCTCATAGCATCTTGAACCCTTCGACGAACATCTGCCCGTTCCTCATGGGCGGGAATAGGAGCCGAGGTAGACGCCATAGGTCGATGCTGCTTCCATACTTCTCGCAGCCGCGACCCAGCGGCTTGAGCACAGGCAATCACATGACCATTATTACTCAGAACCGAGCCATGGAACCCCAACTGCTGACCCCTTCTTTGCGTTGGTCTTTCCATCACGACCAGTCCGAGCGAGGCACGATAATGGTGCGGTGAGAAGTCAGATACGACAAGTTGCACATCTTCTGGAGACAAACACACGCCTGTTGCACCAGCAAGTCTTCCAGCGATACCGGCGAAATCGACGGGGCCAATCGAGCCAGCTGCGCTCAGCTCGTAATCAAACTCTGTCACGATCTGCCTCACAGTCGACAAGTGGAGCTTCAACAGATGAGGGTCTCGCTGCCGCATCTCTCGCTCGACAAGATGCAACTTCGGAGCCTCTTGGCTCTGAGTCTTGGTTCTCTTAGAGGCATGATGTTGCGAGTCAGGACCGCCTCGACGTTTCCGCGGCTTCACCTCGTCGTACTTGGTCGTGCGGGGCGGCCTTTCTCTCATCCGAGAATCGCAGTCGACTGGATCAGCAGTAGTGTCCATCGTAAAATAGTGATCATGACCTTTGCCGACCTGAAAATTGTCAAAATAACAAGAAATGTGGAGTCACTGAAAACCTCTCACTCCATTCGGCAGGGCGGAAGTTTCATTCCTCAACCAAGCACCTTTTGCATCACCGAAGTCACCCGTGGTCCCAGATGCAGTTGTCGAAGCAGTGGTGCTGCTCGAGTCCAATAACGCGAGGCTGGGTGGGGACGATGTGGGAAGACGATGACGGTCCATTAATGAGTACCGCAGCAACAAATTCTGAAGGATCTACTTTACAGCAGTGATGACAACTAGGGGAGCATCTGTTTGAAAATAAACCATCGCATGGTCTCGTGGCCTAATGGATAAGGCGTTGGTCTTCGGAACCAAAGACTGTGGGTTCGAGTCCCACCGAGATCGTTTTTCAATCCAGAAGATGGAATGTATCCAGGACCAATTTCTCATGTCCGAATTGGGCATATTCAGTGTCCGCATAACAACCTACTACCGAGTATACCCAGCAGTGATCGATGAAGACCTCCACTGATGGACACGTGGAATATCTCGCCCGATCACTCAACGGATCTGCCCGAATGATAAGCTCACGAAGATATCAGCAGAGGCATAGTACAAACGTAATTCCATGTGACGTTCTCATTGTGTAACACCAAAATATCAAGTGGCAGTAAAAGAAACGTACTGTGAAGAACAACGTCAGTGACTCCTATCGAGGTAACTATACTACAGAAGGGTAGTTAGCGGGTACATAGAATAAAGAGCAATCGGATGTGCATTCAGCTACTAGTACGGAAGTTCCTGCTGAATGAGACTGAACCGCCTCTTCAGCACATCCCCACGACCATTTCGATCTCAATTCATTTGAACATCATCATCACTACTTCCCTGCTTCTGCTTCCGTTTATCGAGCTCCGCTCCTAGATGCTGGAGGGGTTCCGACCACTGATCGTCCTCGGGCTGCCTTTTGATCAAATCCAGGGCGTGACTCACACACTCCGACGCGATGCGAAGAGGCTCGGTCCGATCTGAGAGATACACTACAAGTGAATCCGCATGTGTGTCTAAACAGTGAAGCCCGACAGAGAGAAGGTACTCAGACAGTTCACGAGATATAATCGGTAAGACGGGAAACCACCAACACACCTGTCGCCTCGGCATCCCCCTTGAGTGCTGCTGCTGCTGCTGCGGTCATGTGAGCACATGCTAATACATACCACACCTCAACTTCATTCTCATCCTCGTCGAGCAGTTGATGAAGCACCTGCGTGACCCAGCAATCGATCAAATGTCCAGCCTACCACCACCGAGAAACACACCTCAATGGCTTCATCCGAAGCATCAATATCAGTCAAAGTTTTCGCTAACTGCAGCCTGATAGGCATGGGAGGCAACGACTCCGGGTCTTCTTCCCCAACACTTCCTGAAGGTCGGACGGAACGACGATCCGCTCACCACACAAGGTGAACCGGCATTACGTATAATTTCTAGTGCTCGCTTGCACAGCTCCTTGGTCTTGTCAAAGTCCTGTATGACCTTGTAGTACACGGCTAGACCCGAGAGAGCCTCTACTGACTGAGGCGCGCGTGAAACGGCCTAGACAACAAGCAACGTATATCGACATGAAGCTACCCAGAAATTAGCAACTCTGCCCTTCCTACTCCCTCTAAGTATTTCTTGCAGTTCTCCTCAGCATCCGCTTCGTCGCACATGTCGGTCATATAGAGCTCACCAATAGCACACATTGCCGATATTAGTCTGAAGTAATGACGTTTCATGGCCAACTCCACCCACACTGAAAGCCCACCTAGCCTCGACAACGCTCCGGACTTCCTCTCCTTCAACCTCAGCATCCTGAAGCTCGTTCTCTAGTATTTGGGCGGCTTTCATGTAGTACTGCAAGGAGTCACTCCCCTCCGACAACTGACCCAAGTAGAAATACCTATCAAAAGGATCACTACTGACTCGCGAGGTCCTACAGCTTCAGTCCAAACACGACAAACTTCACATCAGAGTGTCGCGAGGCGTTTAATCGTTCGAACGGAACGCCATACAAGAGCAACTCGCCCCCTCGCCGAAAGTGGTTCCCATAGCACTACTTGCTCCCGTTGATAGCAGGTGCTAGCTCGACACTCCGTTTGAACAACTGTACCGCTTTCTCGACATCCTCATTGGAATATTCTAACAGTACCTGAGGCACTCAACCCTCACTGTCCAGGTAGGCCTAGTAGACCTACCTCGCCGTAGAAGTCAAGTACATCCGGGTTATTAGGATCCTTTTGGAACGCTTTATCCATGTACCTACGAATGTCCAATTGAGCGTCACTTCTCGTTGAAAGCAGTTGCTCTTAAGCGAGCTCCAGCGGACCTAGCTCACTTCGACTGTACAGAGGCCCTGCTATGCATTGTTCCACTGAATGCATTCATCGAAAAAAAGACCATTTTTCGAACACGCGTCCTCCAGAGAGTTCGAACTTAAGAAAACACACGTCCTATTCCTGCACTACCGTATAGCCATCTCCCCCTCCGGAGGGAACCTTTCAAGACAGTCGCTGGCCCGAGTTATTAGGTCCTGGGCTGTCACGTCCGTCGGAGTTGGGGACCGCCTAGAGGGCATTTCGAGACAACTAATTGAGCGACTTCCGTATGCTGCCCAACTCAAAAGTAAAGGAGTTTCGAGATTTTACCCGCTGTTATCAGCACGCTGTGCAAGGCGCTGAACATTTCCATTACATGCATCAAACCCGACCGCGAGTTCCAAGGTGCTTTTGAAATAGGTTCGGAAAAATGGCGAGCGAGAAATGTCCGAGAAAAGCGCGCGTCCCTCGACAAGTTTCAAGCCACTTAAGTCAAAAAACTTCCGTGGAGAGATGATCATGGTACGCGACGCTCCCCGCAATCAAGTTTAGGAACAATAGTTTCAACCCGTAGCGCCAGGCTAGAACTTCGGCAGGCGTTTTGTTTTGTTGAAAAAATCAAGGCGCGAATCGACTTATTGGAGTTTCATCGGTGATGTGAGAAACACATTTCACATTTCACTTCGCGAAAAACGGGTGAAACTCCATTGTATATTGTACTGCATATACGACACACGCGTTGAATATGAATCTGGAGTTTCGGCACAGCAGCACGAAAAAGGATATGTATCCGCACCTTCACCGTTTCACTGTTCAATATACACGCACCGTTCGGAGTAACCACTAAGCCTCTAGTACTCCTTCCTAACAATCGGTTTACTCAGTGTTTGAAAGGCGGGCTATAGGACAATCCTATTTGCTGGGGTGGCCAGGTTTTTAAAAATATGTCAGTTCTCATTAAAGTACCTTGCACTGTTTCGAAGGGAAAGACTATCCTATGATTTTCAACATAACGTCTTCGTTTTTTTTCGCCACTTGAGAGTAGCTAGCGCTCCCTGTTGTCCTTGTTTATGCACGGTTGTTACCTCTCATTTCAGTTCTAGTTTTGAGAATGAGTTTCCAAAATCGAGGAACGTCTTCCCGTTCCTCTGAGGAATATGTGGGAGACCTGCGGAGTCGTCAGGGGCTGACCACGACTACTACGAACCGCGGGGAGTCCCAATCGGGTACTACGGTTTTGGAAGGTCTGTCTGAGAAACTCCCCGCATCCAACGGCAGTAGCGCCTCGGTGGTTGAGAAGCTGCGTGCTGAGAACTCAAAGTTGCAAACGGATATGCTCAGACTTGTGAAGCAAAATCGACAGCTTCTGGACGAGAACAAGAAGCTGAAGGTGCAGAAGCAGGTCATGGTTCACAGCGAAGAGGGCCTCAGGAGGGTTCTTGATCAAGACCCCTTTGTCAATATGTCCTGTTTCGGTCATAATAACTACAAGAATGTATCGGACTTGTACTTCGAGCTGCAGCATGAAATTTGTTGGCTCGAGCGCGACGACAGAGGCCTCCGGCGGGTTCTTGATGTGGTCATCGTTCGCCTCTCGTACAAGGATCTCGTTCTTGTCGAATCACACGAGCAGATGTCAGACGGCAGAGTGAGGAGCCGCAATTTGCTCCCGGGTGTCAAGAAGCGTCTATCTGAAACCATCGGAGCTGCTCTCGAACGGTGGATCCATAAGGAGTTGGGATTGAACTTCGACTGTCTCAAGCAGGCGGCCGCGTATTCTTACTCTGAACAGGAGGCTGACAGCTCTCTGTCGTACCCGATTCGTGTGTTATTTCGTCTCCACGAAATGTCGTATCAACTGATACCCGATGCGCTGAGCAAGGAGCAACTCGCTCGAATAGGACTCCCCAAAGGGCATTCTTTTCAGACTTCGGAAGATCTTTGTGAAGCCGTGAACGATGACTCTGATAACAATGCTGATCACGGTGCGGTTATTTCGAGGGGCGGCAGCTCCTCGTGTTGTGGCTATTTGAAATCAGCGGTTCACTTTTGGGGATGGTATCAGATGTCGTCATGGGAGGCGGTGAACTCTGCGAGTCGGCAGACTAATGCAGCGGAGAACATCGATCTCAGTGCTGCGATAGATAGGGCGCTCGGATCGCATCCTAATAGGGCCGTTTACACACAGCTTTTGCTGCGTATGTTTGGTGCAGCTTTCGATTGCACGAGGCTGTCTGGTGGTTTTGGTGGTGGTTTGGTGCTCAGAGTGCAGCCCTTCGACTTGAGAGGCCGTCGGGAAGAGCCCGTTATAGTGAAGTTGGATACTAAGGAGTCAGTGGAGACTGAAGTTGCCAATGCTAGGGAGGTGTATGAAGTTCTGAGCGATCAAGCTGCTCGCATCCTCGGCGAGCCGATTTATGTTGGAGACTCCGGGGCGTTTAAACTCGAACTGGCTGGTGCATGCTGGCATGTTCCCGAGCTGGCCAACAGCTCAACGACGCTCTTGAACACTTTCAAAGATCTGTATATTTATGAGTGTGAGCAGATGCTCATTCCAGATACGAGACGCCTTCTGCTCGGAGAC